CCGACACAGCCCACAGGCACCGAGACCCACGTCCACCTGACTGACACCTAAGCCTTTCACGCCCAGAGAGCCCCGTCCAGCAGCCGTCCACGGAGCAGAGGCAGGGTGAGGCCTCCAGCACGTGTGCACACAGGTGTCCAGGGAGGGGACAGCAGGAGCAGAGCAGCCGGCACTGCTGTGTCTGTACCTCCTGGGAGCCAGGACTGGAAAACACGTATGTGGGTGGACACCACGTGTGGCCTCAAAAGCCTAAACTCTTGGCGTCTGGCCCTCGACAGGAAACACAAGCACTCGCGTTCACGATGACAGCGCAGACCGACGGCTAAGGGAAGATGTTGCCCAACCTCTGTCGGGAGCATCAGCAAACACACCCTTCATGAAAATGTGTCAACAATTTCCATTTCAAATATTTATATTCGTCTTCTACAAATAAAAACCTACCAACCTGTCCAAGCCTTGTGAAAAATCTGTACACCACCGAAGGTTTCCCATGGACGGAATCTCCAACACTGTCCCCTTCGGACATTCTGTAACTGAGAAAAACACAAAATACTTTTAAATAAAAAGCATTCAGGGATATAAAAACTTGGTCCTATTTTCACCCATATGCCAAGTAGGTTTTTACAATATTCACTATTTCATCCACACCATTTCTTTGTGTGTTTTTACCATGAAATGTTCAGGAAAAAAACACGCAAGCACACAGGTTTTGGCGGAGGGAAGGGACAGCACCAGGTGACCATGCCAGGCAGCACAGGATGAACTCTCCTTCCCACTGCCAGCACCGCGCTTCGACATGCATGGTTGCTGTCCAGCCCGCCAGCAGCAGAGGCCGCCCTTGTTGCCCCCTGGTCCCTGGCTGGCCCAGCGCAGTGCTGCACACCTTCCCTCCAGGTCCCCTGTCCTCTGGGGATCCCTTTGGGCCCCCCAAGGACCCTCCCCTTCTCTATGCCCTGTCCTGGGTCTCTGGTCTGGCAGGAACAGGAAGGGCCCCTGAACAGGAACATGTCACCCACAACTCTCGGGTCATCCAACTATCAGTGTCCCAGTTTCTTAACTAGAGGTAACCGTATCTGTGCTATTTCACCATGCTGCTGTGGTCCCATAAGGAACTCACCTGAGAACCAGGGCCAGAGGTCACATACATTATCCCACTTAATTCCCAGTGGGATGACCAAGTGAAGGGGCATCATTACCCCTTTTCACGAAGGACTAGTTCCAAATAGTCCAAGCTGTGTGTCCAAGGTCACGCAACAGCTCTGCTCCTGGGCACACCCAGAGCCTAGCCCGACACCTGGCTCCTCACCCGAGCACGCTGCCACCCTATCCTGAGATGAGATGGATTCAGGGGACTCGCCATTCTTTAGGAAAGCGCCCCTGAGGAACCAGGGCTTTCCAACTGTCACTCCTACTTTAAAGATGAGATCCTTGTGGGCCCTAAGCTAGGAAAGATGACGGGGCAAAGTTCACCGTCACCTGCAAATCTGTACGTGGCAGCTGCCCTGACGCCATCTGCTGCTGTGCAGGTGAAGAGGATAAGACTTCAGTTTCAAGTTTGGTTTTAAGTCCCACCTGTGCCGAGTGGCTGTGAGACCTTCAGCAAACCCTCTAACCACGCAGTCAGCCTCAGTTTCCTCATCTGTGAAATGAGGCTCTATTAAACTCCAGACACAAAGGCACAGATATCATTCCACAGCAACCCTGAGGTTGTCTTACTGTTCCAATTCACAGATGAGAAAACTGAGGCTCACAAAGGCTATAGAGTTGCCCCAGCCGATCAGCTGGTTTGTAGCGGGGCTGGAACTGACAAACCTTCACCTGCCTGAGACTAATACCTTCTAAATCACATCTTCACTGTGGGCATTTAGAAAATCCGTCTCTTTTTGAAATGAAGTCAACAGTCTACACGGTATGATCCTGGATCTCAAGTGGATACACTTTCCAATTACAACCTCAATATTAAAGTTATCAGCCAAGTGAGGTGGCTCACGCCTGGAATCCCAGAACTCTGGGAGGCCAAGGTAGAAGGATCGCTTGAGCACAGGAGTTGGAGACCAACCTGGGCAACATAGCAGGAACCTGTGTCTACAAAAATTTTTTAAATTAGCTGGGTGTGGTGGTGCACAGCTGTAGTCCCAGCTACTCAGGAGGCTGAGGCAGGAGGATCACTTGAGCCCAAGAGTTTGAGGTTGCAGTGAGCTATGATGATGCCACTGCACTCTAGCCTGAGCAACAGAGCAAGACCCTGACTTCAAAAAAATAAAAATAAAATTATCTGAGCAATTTTACCAGGCCACATCATCAAATCCACACCGGGAAGTATGAATGTGATTCCATGACAACATTCCCTGGATCCATCAGGTCAAGTGCCAGGAACTCTCAAGGAGGAGACCTAGAAATGCTCTTTGGAGCTGCGTACACCAAAGACACGAAATTTAACCAAAAAGCCAAACTGTGGCCCCCAGGTCCTTCCCATCTGCTTTTCAGGAGGTGTATTTTTACATTCTGGGGAGAATTCCGTATTTAAATAGAGGCTACATCAGAATTAATCGCCTAGAATGGCCACCCTATTCAGGCCAAAGCCGGGCCATCAGGAAGCTACTTCAGTCATATTCTTCATTATAGTCCTTACAAATGTTTCCTTATTTACTCTGACCAAAGTGTTTACTATTAAAGCACTTTTGCTTAAATTGCAGTGATAGAGTAATATTGGAAAGAAAATACATGACTATCCCATTAAAGAATATTCTCTAAGCAGAGCTAATTGCTTAGAATTTCTCACTGTTTCACTGAATGTATAGAAAACCCACCAAAAATGCTTTCATCAATTTCTGATTATCTGATAAATATAACATATATATTAAAACATGGGTCTACATCTTGATTAAACTCTCTGCCAATAACAGCATGAGAGAGGAAGAGCAGCATGATTAAGAATGTGAACTCTGGACTCAAACTGCCGGCTTTTAGATCCCAGTTCTGTCACTTTCTAGCAGTATGATCTGGATGAGCTACTTAAGAATGCCTCAGATTCCAATCTGTGAAATGAGATGACAGCATTTTTATTTACAGCCGTCCCCTAAGGGTTCTTCTGAGGAGTCAGCCCATGATAAGCCCTCAGAGCCTGGCACAGAGGGAGTGTGCCAGCCCCTTAAACACGTCAGACTTGTTCCTGGGTGAGGGCCGGACCTTGCACCAGCTGGTCTTCCTGCAACCCTCTTCCCTCTGAGGCTCAGTTGAAAGGCCACCTCTTCAGAGCGGCCCTCCATTACTGTCCAAATTGACCACCACCAGTCCCTCATGTCATATCACCCAGTTTTCATTGTATTTTGTGTAACAGTTGTTTTCTGTTACCTTTCTTGTTTACTTCTCACTTTCCTCCTACTAGAATGTAAGCTTCTTGGGGGTGCCTTGTCTGGTTCAGGGCTGGGCCCCACCAGCTAGAAGTGCCTGTTGCATAGCAGGCAGCCGGTAAATTACCCGTTGAGTGTTACAGCTTCATGCCCAGTCACAAAGAAAACACAAAGATAAAACCAGTCCAAGCAGAGACCGTGAGTACCATGCCAGAAATTATACACAAAACTCCACACAGGCCTTGTTCTAGAGCCCATTACATTCATTGGTTTCTGTGGTCCCTCACTCCTAACACAGGAAGCTTCGTTCCACAGAAGAATAAAGTCCTCAGCCAGGCACATGGGGCCATCCACAGTTTGGCTCCTGCTAACTTTCCCTCCACCTTCATCCCCAAATTCCTCCTGGACAAGGAAAGCCCCCTGGATCTTCTGCATCATGGTTCAGGCCTCTGATGCTGTTCCCTCCCCTGAAATGCCCTTCTAGACCCTGTCTCTTCCTTCTTCCCAAGGCCACAGCCTGGGCTCCTCCCTCCTCTGGGCCTGACCATCTTGGACCTCCACCTGGCCCTTACACCACACCTTGAGTGAGGTCACCGCCAGCACACATCAGGAGCCAAGTGACCACCTAAGTCTCAGTTACTGAGGACCCTTTATTCACTCATGGGGAGAGTGCCATCTTACTATGAAGTGAAACGTCAACCCAACTAAGAATAAAGCACTTCCAGGACCAATAGCCAGTCTCTAAAGAAAAAAAGGAAGAAAAGCATGCTGAAGGTTCTCAGGCTGAAAGCAGCCCTGTGGGGTGTAAGATGCCCTGGCAAGGAAGCAACTGTTAACTTTTATCAGCAGGACCACTGACCAGTACACATGTCAGCCTGGAGGATTTACGTTTTATTGCCTGTATCTGGAATATTATCAAAATATAACCTTGATGGATTTAACTAGCTCCCCTTCAGCCCGCTCAGTATCTTCAACCAAAGGCTTAATAGTAAATCCTATAGATAAGCCCGAATAAGGAACACTGCGATGGGAAGGCAAGAGGACATCCCACACAAATCCATCCCAACTCTCACGGTGCTGTGGGGACGGCAACTGACCACTTTCCCAGATGCCCCTGCAGGGCGGGCAGTGGAGAGTGGCCAGGGAGAGCGGGCTCGCAGCTCTCCCACCGGCCCCTGCCCGGCCCCGGGCTCAGCCTGTGCTCTCCCTGCCTCTTCTCCCGGCTCTTCGCGGGCTTCCTGCCGGCCCCGGGCTCAGCCTGTGCTCTCCCAGCCCCACGACGACCATACCCCGCCCGGCCCTCCGCTCGGCCCCGCCCGCCCGTGGCCTTGACAGCCCGGAAGGAGGCGGAGGCGGCGCCGCCCGACCATTCCCGCGCCACGCAGCCCGCACCGCCCCCGCCCCTGGCACCTCGCAGCGCCGCTGCGGCCGAGCCGCGGTCTTCCTCGCGGCCGCAGGAAGGAGGACGGCGGGGAAGGGGCGGCCGCCGGCGCTTCGCTCAGGCTCCGGGAAGCTGCAGCGGGAACTTCCGCTCCGTCCTCCGCGGCACCGCCTCCAGGGCCTCCAAGATGGCCGCGAGGGCGGGGCCAAGAGCTCCAACCATTTCCGCTTCCGGTGCTGCCGCCTAGGCCGTTGGCGGGGCAGTCCTCTCGACGGAAGGGACCGAAGCAGCGGAAATGCGCCTCACTGCACAGGCGCAGTTGCGTCCTCTGGCTCCGGGCCCAACAAAATCCGTTCCAGAGATTGTGATCGCCCAGGGACCTGGCCCTCGGCCACGCCCCCTCGCGGCCAGAGACCAATGGGAGAGGGATCTACTGGTTGCTAAGGGAACCCCCTAGCGGCAAGATGGCTGCGGCCGGAGAAGAGACCCCAAGCTCCAGCGGGCCGCGCCAGGACCCGCCGAGGCGGCCGCCGCGGGACGGTAACGACTGCCGCCCGACCTGGGCCCGGGGGCTGGTCGCCGCTGTCCTGGGCTCCATTCGGGGCTCGGTCGCTGTAACCCTCGCCCCCCTAGCGTTCCCGTGGGGAGTGGGGGTCCGGGCACCCGCGCTGAGCCTTCCCGAGCGCGTCGGGCCCGCCCTGCTCGCCGCCCGCGGGCGCCGGGGCCGCCCTCCCTCCCTCGGCGCCGGGCCGCAGGCCCCGCCAGCAGGGCCCGGACACCGAGGGCTCCCGCGGGCCCCGTGGCTGTGGTGAGGAGCCGGAAGGCCGGGAAGAGCGCCGAGCCTCCGGACTTCCCGGCCGGTGCCCTCGGGGAAGGCTGGGGCGTGTTTAATCCGAGCTGTTAAAATAGAAGAAACAGGTCTGGAATGAATTAAGTTATCTTCCGGTGGAACCAGACCTCGGTTTATAGCAGATGCAGGAGACTGCGGTCACCCCCTGCCCTTCTCCCATAACCTCTGCCCCCAAGTTGTGCCTTGAAGGCAGGGGAGCGGGTAGGGAGGGGCCCTGCCTACCCAGGAGCTGCTCGAGATGGTAGCGGGAAGTAGTGCACCCAGCTGCTGAGTGCGAAGGCATGAAGCTGGCCAGGCCCTCCTTGGGTTTAAGTGTGGATTTTGTCCCCTGGGGATAGGACACCACTGGAGGGTCCCAGTATAGGGATAGGAGAGTCCAGCTCCTTCCTCTTTCTGTTCGCTTGCTTGCTGCTGCCACCCCTTTGCCCTCATGGCTCATGGCTCATCCTTCCTGGCTCAGCTCACATGTTCCCTTTTCAAGAAGATGCCCGCCCTCCCCCAGACCTCCAGGACACTGCTGCTCTCTCAAGGAACTGCGCTCATTTCAAACTATCCCTCCTTTCACTGGGCCTGTCTCCTCTGCACCGGGCAGGTTCTCATCCACGTTGCATACGTAAAGGAACCAGTGGAGGGACCAACAGTAAAAAGGAAAACTCATGAACCCCACGCTGAGACTGAAAGCAGCAGTGTCGGGGAGTTGACTGAAGATGAAGTGCACAGGCACCTTGCAAGGCCCCCGGGGGAGCTGCACGCCCACCCTCAGAGCCAGAGACTGCCCCCACCTCCAAATGTCTGTTGAATGTCAGCGCCGTGACTGTGTCCCACGCTCACTTGTGTGCATTTTTTCAACATTCAGGTTTTGGTGTCTACGTATACCCAAATTCTTTCTTCCGATACGAAGGAGAGTGGAAAGGAGGGAAGAAGCATGGTAAGAAGCCTCTTTGGCTCATCCTGCAGCTGCCACCTCACATATGGCAGGGCCAGTTTCCTCCAGGACCTTGGGCAGGGAAAACAGGATTCCTGGGAAAACTGGCTTTATGGTTTACTTCTGATGATAAAGAGTCAACCTACTTTTGTAGAAAAGCCAAGCAATTAAAAAAAAGAAAGTATAGGCCGTGCACGGTGGCTCATGCCTGTAATCCTAGCACTCTGGGAGGCCAAGGTGGGCAGATTGCTCGAGGTCAGGAGTTCGAAACCAGCCTGAGCAAGAGTGAGACCCTGTCTCTACTATAAATAGAAAGAAATTAATTGGCCAACTAATATATATGTAGAAAAAACATTAGCCGGGCATGGTGGCACATGCCTGTAGTCCCAGCTACTCGGGAGGCTGAGGCAGAAGAATTGCTTGAGCCCAGGAGATTGAGGTTGCTGTGAGCTAGGCTGACGCCACGGCACTCACTCTAACCTGGGCCACAAAGTGAGACTCTGTCTCAAAAAAATAAAAATAAAAAAATAAAATAAAAAGAAAGTATAGACTCAAAACCACATAGACTCCCCCCACCCCGGGAAGTCTATGCAGCTGCCAGGGTCTGGGCTCCTTCCTATCTCTACAGAGTCCACCTGCTCCTGTCGTGCACCCATTGCTTTTACTGCAAGGTTGATGTTTTGGCGTTTTCTTCTGTGAGCTCTTTTTGTATCTATTGACTGTCAATGTTGTCTGTGTTTTTAATTTCTTTGGAGTGTTTTTGCGACACAGATGCTTCTTATTTTTGTGCTGCCACCGAGGGCCCTCTTCCCCCAGGCCAGGCGTGAAGGCTCACGTCAGACTCCACTGTCAGGGCCTGGCCTGGAGAGAGTCACTCCCCTTTTGCACGTGTGCCCGTCAACGTGCACCGTGTCCTGCAGCCGCTCTCTCCTGGGCCCTCATGTTGACAGAGGCGGGCGAGGAATGTGTCCCCTCTGAGGTCCCGTCTGTGTTCTCAGTGCCCGCGCAGTCACTCTGGCTGGAAGAGCACGGTGGGCAGGAACGTTCCCGTGCACGTCACACAAGGACGTTTTTCACATATACATGTGTCAGACAAGTGATGGAGCCAAACGCAATCTTGAAGCCACGCTCCTCGCCCTGAGAAAGAAGCCCGACGTCGACAACGACGCAGGGGGCCGTGGCAGGCTGCGTCACGGTACCGTGTCTTTCATTAGGTCGCGGGAAGTTGCTGTTTAAAGATGGAAGTTATTACGAAGGAGAGTTTGTGGACGGGGAGATCATGGGAGAAGGCTGCCGGCACTGGGCCTGCTCAGGTTAGCTCCGGGGCTGGGCGACGAGTTCTCAAAGGCCGTCTCCGGTCAGCTGGTCTCTCGCCTCTGGACACAGGAGCCTCTGGTGCCCCTGCCGTGTCCCGTCACAGCAGCACACCCGGCTGGGGCAGGGCAGCGGCGGGGCGCCACGGCTTGGATGGCCTGTGTGCCCATGAGGGGGGCCGTGGGGACCCCCGGTTGAGGCTCTGTCCTCACCTGCCTGGCAGCTCTGACTTCCCCATAGGCTTTGTTGGAATAAAGATTTATCAATGCAGAGCTATAGTGTTTCCTTTTTTATTTAAAGTTATCTCAGCCACATTGTATCCCTAGAGGAGAAAACTGCTCCGTGCCTCCCATGTCAGCTGCTAGGGGCCGTGTCCGGGAGCCTCAGACCCTCACAGGCAGATTGGGGCGTCAGTCCTCAAGTGGGGAGCTTTTCTCTGGGGCTCAGCTGTCAGTTGGTGTTTAAAGGGCCTGGGAGAGGGTTCACCCCTAAGTCTCTGACCGGGAGGAGCCTTTGCCTTGGGCACAGGGCAGCAGATCCTCTGACTACAGGTGCCCAGAGAGTGTCCGCCGCGGGCCGTCCCGCTCACAGCTGTAGGGGGAGGACCAGACCCATCTCACCACGGTCTCCCTCATTTGCCAGACTGAGCAGGGACACGAGCTTCCACTCTGAAACGGCACCTGCAGCCACCACCAGCAGGGGACAGAGGAGGTGACTGGTAGCGCACTGGGCATGCGGGAGACGGCTCTGGCCTGAGCACCTGTCCCCCCCCCTCCTTGTCCTCATCAGGAAACACCTACTCCGGACAGTTTGTTCTGGGAGAGCCTCAAGGACGCGGCGTCATGAAGTACAAAGCCGGCGGATATTACGAAGGGGAGGTCGCCCACGGCGTGCGGGAAGGTCTGACGTCCACGGCACTCGCTGGGCAGGGCAGGGCGCTCGGGAGGGGAAGAGTCTCCCATCCGCTCAGGTCTAGAAACCACCGACCCGGCCTGACTTTAGAGGTTGGGGGAACAGGTTGGGGCTTGAGCCCTCCTCGCCCCGCCACCAGGCTGCGTTCTGTGGTGCGGTGGTTCTGTGTGTCCCGATGCCCAAGCCGCTGTGCCCGGTGGGGCCCCAGCCTGCAGTGCCCTGGGGCTCTCAGCGCACCCCGGTTATCCGTGGCTGTGTAGCAACCGCCCACAGCGCCATGGTTAAGACAGCCACATTTGATTATTTGCTCACGATCCTGGGGTCAGCAGTGTGGCCTGGGGTTCACCAGGCAGGTCTTCTGTCTTACATGGGGTCGCTGGTGACCACACATAAGGCTCGGCCAGGCCCTGACAGCCCCCGAGGTCCTCACAGGAAGTCCCACGCCTGGCGCAGCAGTCTCAGCGTGGTCACTTCCTCCGTGTTCTGTCCGCCAAAACAAGTCGGGGGGCCACATTCACGACTCCCCCACCACCACGTGCACCAGGCATGGGACCCTGTGCTGTGCCCTCACCTCACTGAGCCAGCGTGACCCTGGGGCCGAGAGACCAACTGTACCCAGGAAACAAGGGGAGCAGGTTGTGGCACCTTCCATATAGACATAACGTCCTTTCCTTTTTCCAGCATTTCCTTACGTTAACAAGTAGAGGCCAGGCACGGTGGCTCATGCCTGTAATCCTAGCACTCTGGGAGGCCGAGACTGGAGGATCACTCAAGCTCCGGAGTTTGAAACCAGCCTGAGCAAGAGTGAGACCCCGTCTCTACTAAAAATAGAAAGACATTAATTGGCCATCTAAAAATATATAGAAAAATTAGCCGGGCATGGTGGCCCATGCCTGTAGTCCTAGCTACTCGGGAGGCTGAGGCAGGAGGATCGCCTGAGCCCAGGAGTTTGAGGTTGCTGTGAGCTAGGCTGATGCCACAGCACTCTAGCCCGGGCAGCAGAGTGAGACTCTGCCTCAAATAAATAAATAAAATAAAAATAATATATAAAAAAAAGAAATAGATCCCCAGATTTCTGACTTGTCCACCATCTGAAAACACCTTACGGCTTACCGAAGCCACATCCCCCAGTCCTTCCTCTGACCTTTCAGAGCAGAGTGCTCTGAGCAGACCGCTCAGGCCGGGCGATGCCCTTCTCGCGGCAACATGGAGGTTTCTTGTAAACCTGCGTGAGACAGGCCCTGATTGCGCGGTGGCACTGTCCCAGCAGGACGGGAGAGCACTCCGGGTCCCAGATGTGGGACTGAGGGGCCCCTTCCACCACCCGCAGCCTTCGGGACTGGACCCTGGGGCGGATGACGTCTGCCACTCCTGTCCCGGGCAGTGCCCAGAGCCGCCTCGTAGCCGGGCCTGGAAGGACCATCTGGCTCCTGGTGGGCCTGGGCCTTGCCCTGAGCTCACCACCCTGCTCCGCCTGCAGGCCCTGGGGGGCCGAGTCCCCGCTCGGAGGCAGGAAGAGCTGGGGGTGGGGGGGGCCTGAGCGGGAGGCCAAAGCCGAGCTCGTCTCTTTCGGTCCCTCCACCAGGGCAGGGGTTCCTGGTGGACCAGGCCGGACAGGTGTACCAGGGGTCGTTCCACGGCAACAGAAGGCACGGCCGCGGGCAGATGCTCTTCCAGTGAGTATGTCCAGGAGGCGCCGGCTGCTCGGGCTGCCCTGGCCTGGCGGGTGGGTGAGGCACCCGGCTTCCAGCCTCTGTGGGCCATGCGCCCCCCCCCCATTGCCCAGTTGTTTAAGTACATTCTGTGGTTTTGGTGTCATTCGGTCGTGTTCCCCTTATCTAATGAAATTGATTGTGCATTTGATATAAAAAAACATCAACACCCTCCCCGCCACCCTGTTAAAATGCCTCCTGGGAAGGCCGGGCGGGTGGGAGGGCGGAGCCTCGGTGGGGCTCAGAGGACCCGGTTCCCCACTGCCCTGGAAACCAGGCCTGCCGTCAAGGGTGGGGGCGGCAGACGTGTCCCCGCCGCCTGTCACCGGCCCCACAGCCGGCCCTGGCGAGGCAGGAGCTCTGGGGGCCATCTGCTCAGGGCCTATTTCTGCCGCGTTCCCGGGCGGTGCGTGCTGAGCGGGGTCGGGGGAGCCGGTCTGAGTCACCGCTGCCACCTGGCCTCTGTGCCTGTCCCCCAGGAACGGTGACAAGTACGACGGCGACTGGGTCCGGGACCAGCGTCAGGGACACGGGGTGCTGTGCCGTGCAGACGGCTCCGTCTATGAGGTATCCAGGGAGTGGGGGCGGGGCCCGCGCCAGCGCTATCGGGTGTGTGAAGTCGGCACGCGCCAGTTCCTCTGCTCCCCGGAACGGGGCGCGGGATCCGTGTCCCCCTCCTCTGCACAGCCCTCAGCTGGGACAGACCCCCGCAGGGAAGGCAGGTTGCCAAGGAGAGAAAAACAAAAGTTAGTTGACTCGCGTACCTGGCGGGCGCACGGGAGACAGCAGGGGAATGGGTGCACATCAGAGCAGTGGCTTTGACCCCAGGTGGCTTCGACCCCGGGCATAGATGCCGCCTTCAACCGAAACAAGGAAGGGAGGTGCTGGGGGCAGCAGCGGGGAGAGGCCCAGGATGCCCGGCAGACGGGCGCGGCTGATGCCGTGGATCTAAGTCGTGGCCGCCCCGGCTGGCGAGTCTCTAGGGGTTCGGGGTCACCCCTCTCTTCCTGGTGCGGAGGGGATGCAAGGTGACAGCCTCACAAACGGAGGCATCTGCGGCGGACGTCAGCGTTCCTTACAAGAGAGAAACTTCGACTTCCCGTGTCCGCAGTTTCTCAAAAATAATCAGCTCAAAACGGTCCTTCTGCCGCAGGGCCGAGCTCGGGGCGGCACACGCCGGCCTCCTGCAGTCCCAGGAGGTCGTGACGACGGCCGTGCTCATTTCACTGATGGGAAAACTGAGGCATGCAGAGGGTGTGACTCAGTTTCTGGGCCCCTGATGACACCTGCCCCCCCAACCCCGGCCTTTGCATCCAGCTGATTCCTGTAACTGTCACCTCGTGGAAATGTCCCTGCTTTGAGGGTAGCACAGGGCAGGCGCAGGCAGCTCAGAGGAGAGTCTTGGTGAGAAATGCCCCGGGGGTCAAAGGACAGGCAGCCCCTCTCCCAGGAGGCAGACGGGGATTTCAGGCACCTGCGAGGCAGGTGGAGGAGGTTCAGGCAGGTGGGAGGACCTTTCCAGGCCCCCAAGGGCCATGGTTCACCTGTCTGCCGGATGCTGACGAATGTGCTGGGCAGGGCAAAACGAGCAGCAGCCAGCGTGTTCCCGCACGGCCCTGACAGCAAGCGGACGCGCTCACTTGCCGCTGCGGCTCCCGCCGTCCTGTGAGGACAGCGCTCAGAGCGCCCAGGCCGGCAGGTCGGAAAGGCCTCTGGGTCACGTCAGCCCTGGAGCTGAGGCCAGAGTGCAGAGGAGGAGCGGGGAGAGGGCCGGGGCAGAGGAGAGCGGGGACAGAGGGAATAGCCGGCGGGGACGGGCTGCGGCTGGCACCCCAGCCTGGGCCCTCGGAGGGCAGGCGGCCCCCTGAGTCCCTCTGGTTCTTGGAGACGGACGGGGAAGGGGCGCCACAGTCGTCCAAAGGAAGGTGACAGTGACCCACATGCGGTGCAGAGCGACTTGGGGACGGCTGGGCGGGGACGCCGGGCTGGCTGGCGGGTCGGGTGTCGGGCAGAGGCGAGAAGAGAGCTGCGGACAGCACCTGGGCCGACGGCACCTGGGCTGTGGCCCGAGCGCTGGCTGGACGGCGGGACCTGGCCCAGGAAGCGGTCGGGAGGCAGAAACCACAGCAGCCACTTCAACGGGGAGTTTAACGGAAAGAATTATTAACTAGGAAAGGGTGGCCCGTGACCAAAAGGGATAAAGGAACACGGAAGTAGCAAAGACAGGAGCGTCCCAGAGACACCCTCAAAGGTGGGGCTTGGGGGCCGGGCCGGTTGTGTCCAGGGCCAGCTCCCGGCCCGTGGGCGGGGGAGGCTGGTGGTCCACGGCGTGCGGGGGCTTCGCGAGTCACTGGGCTCTCCCCAGGTTGTCTGCGAGGCACCCACGGAACCGACGGGAAGGGGAGGCACCTTCAGGCCTTTAACCCTCTGCTCGAGTCACAGCCAGAGAGCTGCCACGGCAACACTGAGGGAACCCAGATTCCTAGAGCCCCGGGGTTGGTGCTGCTGAGAAGTGCAGCGTTTAGTCGAGTCAGCTGCGGAATTAACACCGTCGGTTGAATCTCCCAAAGTCTCACGTGGAAGTTAGAGCAGTGATTGGAAAGAACTTCCCAGAACTGGGAAGAGCCAAGCCCCCTCCTGGGATGCCAAGCCCCCTCCTGGGATTCCGACCCCCAGAGAGGGCGTGGCTGCAGCTGCAGCTCCGGGTGGTGGAGTTCCAGGGTGCCAGGGGCAGAGCCGTCCCCAGGGAGCTGCCCCCCCACCCCGGGTGCGGGAGACGCTGGCCGGAGAAGGGGGTACCACGGGAGCGGCCCCCTCGCCTGAACCCCCTCGCCCAGCTGGGATCTGCCCAGAACGAAGGGGGGAGCTGTTCCCGCTGTGCCCCCAACCTGCTAGGCCCCTCCCATTCTGCAGGACACTCTGGAATCTGCAAAGGGAGCCCCCACCCCGAGTTGCACCCGAGCCCTCTCTCAACACGGCCGGGCACCGCGCCGGCTGGCAGAGGAGAGCCGACTGTTCGGGGTCCCGCCGCTCGGGTGCTGAGGGTGATGCACTGGGGCTGGCTCGGCCCTCGCTGAGCTGGGGCGGGGGCGGGGGGAGGGGCAAGCCCACGTGGGGCCGCCCGCCTTCCCTGCTTTAAAACAGAAAGCACCTCCCCGGCCGGTCCTGGGCTGGCAAAGCGTTTGTCAAGGCGGGCGGCCAGCATCTCCCCGAGCCCCTGCTGGCAGGGCCAGTGTGCTTGGCGGCTTCCACCAGCGCCCGAGCGCAAACGCCGTGGCCAGGCGGAAGCCGGGGCTGACCTTTACGGAGAGTCGCGGGCAGCCACCAATCACTTCCTTAGCGCCGCAGAGCTGGGCAAGGGGCGCCCCTGTCCCCCCTCGACCGACCCCACCTGCAGAGCTGGGAGGCCTGTGGGGGGGGGGTTGTCTGACTCGTGGCAGCAGAGCTGTTAGGCGATGCTGCCGGCTTCACTCCCAGGACTCCGGGCACCCTTCCACGCCCTCCACACGTGTCAACTCAGAGAAGCCTCCCGGCTCTGTGCGGGGTGCTCCTGGCCCCGTTTTATGGATGGGGAAACTGAGGCACTGGGCTGGTCTCCCTAACAGAGGGGCAGAGCAGCCCTTGTCTCTGGGGCTCCGCCGTCGGCCCAGGGCCCCCGGTCCGCACACCGGCCCTCCCGTTCCCTGCAGTTGGGGGAGGACTCGTCCCACCGGTGTGTTGGCCCAGCTGGGATCTGCCCAGAACGAAAGGGGGAGCTGTTCCCGCTGCCCCCCAGCCCGCTAGGCCCCTCCTGTTCTGCAAGAGAATCACGAAGGGCTTTGTCTTCCCCGACCGCCTGTCCCGCACAGCCCTGTCCCCAGAGGAGGGTCTGCGCCATGGGTCCCCTGGCCACCACTGGGGCTCCACCTCGGGCCCTGGCTGCCCACCGGTCACCAATGTCTGGACCCTGCTGGGCCCTGGTCCGGCCTCCCCTCCTCAGCCTGCAAAAAGCCAAAAGGGCACAGGGTAGGGACGCCACCCGCCTCCACATCCTGGGGCTGGCGGGCTTCAGGGCGCCCCAGCATGTCCGCCAGGGGGCAGCCCAGCCCCGCGGATGGCGCCGCGCCCAGGCCCGGCCTCGCCGCCGGAGAGGCGCCTCCTCCTCCTCCTCCCCCCCCCCAGCCCTGGAGAGGCTTAGCTCCCGGCCGACGATTTGGGCGGACAGGAAATGCCCCGTGACTGCGCCGGCTCTGGCCGGGCGGCCGGCTGAGGACTGCCTGGGGAGGCGGCCTCGCGCGTGGTCTGACCCGCCCGGGAGCTTTTCCGATCGGACTGGCCTTCCCTCCCGGTGCTCAAGCCTCGAACTCCACTGCGAGCTTCGCGGAGGGTTTATAGGGCAGCCTCCGCGCAGACCTTCTTGTGGCCCGAGTTCCGCGTGCTCAGCGGCCCCGCCTCCCAAGACAAGCAGGCTCAGAGGACTGGGGCCGCCCGAGAGCCGCTTCCCGAGGCTGTGTCCACGCCCGGGGCAGGCCTGTGGCCACGAGCGCCCTGGGGACACGCCGCGTGTCCGCGCCGGCGTGGCCGGGGTGGCGCGGCCGCTCACGCCTGCGGACATGTCCAGCGCAGGCGGCCGCCGACTCCTCGCCCCCTCCAGCCTCCGACTCGGGGCGGCACGTGGCGGAGTGAAGGCGTCCCTCCCACCCGCCCAGCCCCCATGGACGCCGTGCACGGGCGAGGGCCCCAGGCCGCCCGGACCTCGGGGTCAGGACTGGCTCCAGAGGCAGCAGGAGATTTCTGCGCGGCATTTGCTGGAGCGGAGCTCACTGCCCGGCCCGTCGCCGGCCCCTCGCCGCTTAGGCTCTCCAGGTGCGCGGCCGGGCACCAGGTGGCCGTCACGGCGCCTCCTCCGCGAGGAGGGAAAGGCGTCAAGCCTTGCGGGGAGCCTGAGGGGCAGCTCGGCCCCAGTGCAGGGACAGTCATTCCCTAGGGTGTCGTGTGTCAGATATTTAGCCCTCTTCTTTTAAAAAAAATTTGTCGCGGTAACATGCATGTGAAATTTACCGTTTTAACCGTCTGCAAGTGGGTTTAAGCACACTCACATCATCCTGCGCCCGCCAACATCATCTCCAGAACTTTCTCACCTTCCCGGCTGAAGCTCTGTCCCCACGAAACACGCACTCCCCTCCCGCCCCAGCCCCTGGCACCGCCGTTCTGCGTCTGTCTACGGGTCTGGTGGCTCCAGGGACCCCCTAGCAGTGGGGTCCGACAGCGTTTGCCCTTCCGGGACCGGCTCATGTCACCGAGCGTCACGTCCTTGAGGCCCGGCCACGCCCTGGCGAGTGTCAGAGCCGCCCTTTTGAAGGCTGAGCGATGCTCAGTTGTACGTGCACCCCATCTTGCTTGCCAGTCCACCGTGGGAGGGCACCTGTGTTGCCCCCACAGGTGAGCCGGTGTGACTGATGCTGTGACGAGGGTGTGTGGGCCGGGGGGCCCCCTGGCTCCGCCTGTTACCCCGGCGCTTTGGGAGGCTGAGGCAGGAAGATCATTTTCAGCCCAGTACTATGAGACCCACCTGAGCACCCCAGGAA